GCCAAGCAGTGGCTTTGGATCCTTCTCAGCGCCCAGTGTCTGCTTTGTTTTGCTCATGGGAGATAATGTGCATGCCACCTGGATATTGTGCCTCCAATGTCAATTCCTCCTTTGGAGAAAGAAAAAAAAAAGTTGCTACAAAAATCCATTGAATTTAGCAATGTAGCGCCAACTCTAGCTAAGAGATGTGATGGAACCAGAGAAAGCATCCCCTCCCCCTGAGTGCCACCCCCTCCTCTGCTGGGCAGCTCGTGAGTTCCCACCTGCTCCATCAGAACCCCCCAAGGTCCTGAACCAGGAGTCAGGAGACTAGGTGTGAGGGGGGAACTTGGACAGATCATCCTGGGCCTCAATTTCCTCACCTGTACAATGGGGATGAAAATGCCCCATGACACCCAGACGGAAGGCTGTGGAAGGGGTGGGTGATCATTAGACAAAGGACAGGCCACCTCTGTGGCTGGACCCAAACCCCCACGGGTCTCACGAGGGAGGGCTGGAGGCAGAGGGGAAGAGACTCCACAGAAGCCACTGCGCCATGCTGCTTCCTCCAGACAAGCCCCAGAAGCAAAAGACCTGAGGAACCTTCTAGTCCAAGCTTTTCCTCTCCTGTCAGAGCATTCGCTCATTTGAAATTGGGCCTTCTCTGGGCACCAGCCAGGGGGTGCCATTTTGGGGAGAAAATATCTCCACTGCCATATATATATATATATAGTTGATTTTTTTACAGAGAGGAAGGGAGAGGGCTAAAGAGTTAGAAACATCGATGAGAGAGAAACATCAATCAGCTGCCTCCTGCACACCTCCTACAGAGTATGTGCCCTCAACACAGGTACATGCCCTTGACCAGAATCGAACCTGGGACCCTTCAGTCCGCAGGCTGAAGCTCTATCCACTGAGCCAAACCGGTTAGGGCTCCCCACTGCCTTTTTATCCACTGAGCAGATCAAACTCCCAGTGTCATGGGGCCTCCTCACACTGAGGTCCTCCTTCACGCTGTTCTCCGTGTCCCCATTAAGCCAGGCTCCCTACCCTGCCCTTCCTGCAGAGGACAGCAGTGCTGGGGGGGAAGGGGGGCAGGACCCGGAGCCAGCTCTTCGGTCTGCCCAGAAAAAAGGTCAGCCGATTCACAGCAGCTGCTGTCCTTACAGGCTCTCCAAGGAGTCGTCGCTGCCTCCCTGGTTCTCTGGGAGGCCACAGGGTGAGAGGGCCAGGGTCAGGGTCAGGCCAGGGCCAATGCCCAAGACTGACCTGCCTGGGGTGAGGGGAAACCAAATCCATCAGGCCTGAGGCCTACCTCTCAGCTCCTCATTTCCTACAGCAAACCTGCCCCCAGTTCCACAGTCAGACAAGCTCCCGTGCAACCCACGCACCTTCAATACAAGAAGGAGAAAATTCAAAGGTAAGAAATACATTAATGCAGTCACCGCCCCACCCCCACCATCACCATCACCAGCAGCGCCGCTGGCTGCCAACGCCTCAGAAGATGCCTTTGTGGGCATCCCCCTGCCTCTGCACCAGCCTAAAACAACATCCAGTTCTGAATTACCAAAATCAATTACCCTAAGAAGGAACTCAGGCAGACAGGCGCTGGAATAAAGACAGCGGATAATTCCCACCGTCAGGTAATTGCTCCCTTGAGAATTTCAGATAATAAAGGGGAATCTTAAAAGAAAGCATTTTTCCCCAGAAAGGAAGGGAAGCCTGTGCATTGATAAACAGAAGGCTCTTCTCTTCCTTGTGCCGTCCCTCCCCTCCCTCGGCTATGCGCCTGCAGGACTAACCCACAGTGGGGTCATGGGAATCCCTGGGGATCGGGATGGGAGGCAGGAGGGCCCCTGGCCCGGGGGACAGTGCTGAGCTCTCGAAGGACATCTGACTCTCGTGTCCTTCTTTGGTGGGGACACAGACAGGGCCAGGGCTCCTGTTACACAAGGGCTCGTGGATACAGGATTGGCAGCTAATCTCTCCCTATTCCATGTGTCCATCTTATCCCCTCAAAGGCCAGAAGCTCTTTGAAAGCAAGTTCTTGGTTGTCACTCCCAGCCCTTCCTCACCACCCGGCCCTGGACATTCACATAAAGGACCTGTCAATCCATCCAGGAGGTGATGGTGGGACACACAGGTTTACCAGGAGCCAATTATTGAGCCCTCTGGGCCTTGGTTTCCTTGATATCAAATGGGAGATAACTTCAAAATATGACACAGATGTCACAATGCCACATCCCTAAGAATGTCACAGGGCCTTGTCAATGGGTATTCCAAGAAGAAAGTCCTCCGGTGAGGGATTTGAAGAGTTCCAGAGTAAACTAGTCCAGCGGGTTTCTTTACTCAGGACTTCTCAGAGCCTCTAAAACTGCTAAGGTGACTTGGTGCTGTACGAATGGGCATAATTAAAGCACGAAGCCTTTCCCAAAACTCCTTTGTTACAAAGCATTTCCCCAACTGCCATTCCATGGAACCCACTTAGGCCAACAATGGTGGCAGACATGAGGCATAGCAGGGATTGAGGAGGCATTTCAAGGGGACCGGTTGGGGCGCTATAGGAAAATTTCATGGAGGATACAGTGCTTGAGATAATTCTGAAGGAAAAAGGAGGAGCAAAGACAGAGTGGGGGCATTCCATGTCGAGGGGACTGCCCAAGCAGGAGCCGGAAGCAGGAGAGCCCTGGGCCTGCTGGTCCTGGTTGTTACTAGAGAGAAGGAGGTGAGGTTGGAAAGTCAGACTGGGGAGAGTCTCGAAATAAAGAAGTACAACATTCCCAGGAAGCAGGTGCCATTGTATCCCTCGCTGGGCCAAGGACAAGCTAAGTGGCTGCCCTAATTCATACAGCGGTTGAGTGGCAGGGCAGGGAGTACAAGCCCCCAGCATGTCAATTTCAGAACCCAGGCCCTTAACCACTGCACTTCCCAGAACCCAATGCCGGCAACACCATCAAGGCATGGAGAAGAGTTGATTACTCCTTCCCATGGGAAGCCTCCTAGGTTATTGGTTTACACTCCATCGACCAGTACTCCCCCAATATATACAGGCCATTCATCCTAAATATTTAAAATGACTCTTCAACCACCCCTCTGTGAATGGACAGGAAGGTGTCAAAACTGTGAGTTGGCACCAACAGAAACCCATCAACATCCTCAACAAGATTTACGTTTCCCAAGCACGTGGCCGCTGCTTGATTTATGGAGCCTGTGGAGGTGTTCTAAGACGGAGCAGGAGTGGGGGAGAAGGCATCATCCTCACCAAATATTTCAATAATCTTCTCAATCACAGTAAAGAAAGCACCAGGCCTCTTCCTGCTCCTGCCCGGGAAAGGAAGTGAAATTGTTTGCCTTAATTCAATCAAGAAATTAACTAGACAATACAAAGAGGAATTCCAGCAAGGATATAAATACTTAAAAATCCCTGCGCTGGTTGTTGAGGAGGATGTCAACAACAGGAAGTCAGTGGCTGGCGAGGGGAGAGGTGAAGGTGGAGAGGTGTGTCCCGAGCTAAAAACAACAGCGCAGGCAGCAGTTTATAATGACAGGCGCTGACCCTGTGCCAGCTCTGTGATAAGCACTTTGCATGCATTACCTCACACCTCAAAACAACTCGATGAGGTAGGTGTCACTATTATCCTCATTTGACAGGGGAGGAAACTGAGGTGCAGGCGGAGAAACGCCATGGAAGTGACAAACTCATCCCTGAATTCAAACTCGCTTCTTCATCCACGCCCCTCTGCTCCCTCTCCAAAGGTATGCCGGGGGACCTAGGGGTGCTCTGGCCTAAATGGGGAAACTGAGGCAGGATTGGATACTCCTCCCCCAGGTGACCTCACTGCCAGGCTTCCCAGCTGACCAGGCTGCAAGGCTGCCATAGAGAACCAGACAAGTGATTTTGCAAACCTGTTTGTAGGAACTTGGGCAACTGTCCTCCTGGGGCCAGCTCTAAGCCACACCGCCTCCAGGAAGCCCCCTCCCCCAGACTTCTTGCCCTCCCCACACACCAACCTGTGGCCTCACCAAAGATGGAGCACCCTTTCTCCCTAAGGGTGGACCCATAGGTTCTCTGGAAGGAGGGAGGAGTGGAACCTCAAATTGGTTCGAGTCCCCCACCCCACCTTCACCCACTCACCCCACAGGCTTGCTTCAACAAACACTCACCCAGGTGACGAAACCACAGAAACAAGCTCTAGTGGAATCTGAATGCCGTGCGAGAAGTAAACTTCAAGTGTGTTCAAGAAAGCTATCTCTTCCTCTATTGTCCTCTTTCTCTAGGCATCATTTAAAACCCAAACTCAAAAGCCTTTTTGTTTGGCTGATTTGAGTCACTGTGTATCTTTCCAAGAAAAATAAGTAAGTAGTTCATATTGTCTCTTTAGTTCAGACTTTTCCACACCCAGAACTTCCTTCACCAGACTCCTGCTTCATCACACCTAATATCCCCACAGTCATACGTTCACCATCCCGGAGGAGTCGGCCCGGCAGCTGGGGGCAGAGAGCACAGTGACTGACCCGTGAGCTGTGGAGTGGGGAAGCCTTCCCCTCCAACTCTACCCGCACTCCTTTCCAGCTGGGTGACTCCAGGCAAGTCACTCCTCCTCTCTGGGCCTCAGTTTCCTCGTCTGCCAAATGGAGACGATAAGAGGATCTCACGGATTAGGTGCGAGAATCCGATGGGCTAATTCTTGGAGAGGCTTGAGCCCAGTGTCTGCCCATGGAGAATACTCGGAGTGTCTGAGCTGCTAGCAATTCTTGTGACAGCCCAGAGAGGTCCTGCACCTTGTCCAGGGTCACGGAGCCAGTGTGAGGCAGAGCACACACTAACAGCAGGTTCCGGCTCCCGGTCCAAGCTCTTTCTCAACCCAGAGCCACTCTCCTGGGAACCTGTGAGACGGCACCGCCCAGGGGCTTATCGTGGCCCAGCAGCTTCCCCAGGCCTGCCGTCCGCAGGCCAAGTGCAAAGTCCCAACCAACAGGTTTGTTTTTCTTACACACAGGCACAAAATCGTCAAGTGGCTCGGAGTGAAAGTTCCCAAAGCTTGGCATCCTCCCCCATCCAGAGGTGAGTAGTGATCTCATCCCTGTGACTAAGCCAACGCCCGCCGACGCCAGGAGCCCTCTCTGGGAACCCACAGGCTTGGCGCTGCTGGCTCCCAGCCCCGGGAGGAGACAAGGCTGCAAAGCCAGGGTTCTCACAGAAAGGAGCACAGAAAGGAGAGAGTGGTTCTGAAAAGCAGGCTGGCGCTACGGCTGGAGGCCGGGATGGAGCTGGAGATCGGGGTTCGAGTCCCAGCTTTGCCATGAGCTTCTCATGAGCTTTAGGCAAACCCAGGCCTCTGCCTGCCCAACTCTAAAATGGGTGGATTGTAGATTTCCAATGGTCTGTCCAGCTCAGATCTGGTTCAGCCCTCAGGGGCCTCTGGCCTAGCTGGGAAGGAGTGGCGTGGGGATACAGCTATGGGGTAGAGGACAGTGGGCACTAGAACGTGCAGAAGGAGAGGCCAGTGTTGCTGGAGTGGTTGCCCAGCCTGCCCCGAGGAGCTGGGGCCTGGCCAGGGATCCTAGTGGGGGTGGGGTGAAGCTGGGAGGAAGAGAATGGATTCTGGGGCCTGGGAGCTTGTCAGCAACAAGGAGCCCAGAGGCAGGGGCACTAGAGCAGCCTGAAAAGGCTTCAGTGAATCAAGCCAGGGGAGGAGAAGAGCCTTTGCCCAGAACTTCAGCCGCCGCCTCCTCCCTCTCGATTAATTCCTGCCACCACGGTGAAGACAGACAGACAGACAACCAGAAGAACCTGGGTCAAAAACTAGAAAAATCCAAGAAACCCAGATAAAGACTTTGCCTAGAACTGGTTCTTCCGAGAACCCAAAGGCAGCAGAACATGGGATCCTCCCTCTCCCTTGGTGCCGGGGTACAGAAGGAAAGGCAGGGAAGGACAAGGTGTCTTCTGAGGATTTTTAAAAAACCTGCTCTACCAAACACCATAGAATGACACCTGAAGCAACGCTGGGGTGGGGGGGGGCACACCACTGCACTGCACTGTTGTGCACTGTCGATAAAGTGGGAACTGCTGTGCTCTGGAACCCTCAGTGGCTCCCTATTGCCTAAAGCATCATGTTCACACGCTCCTTGCTATGGTATCTGGGACCTCGATTTGGGGTCCTGATGGCACTTTTCTGCTCCACTCCCATCACTACCCTGCCCCCGCCACATACAGCTTCTGGTCCCCAGCCCCATCATGAGCCTTTGTCCCCTGGGGCCTTGATCCATCCTTAGGTCCTTAGTCTTCTCACTGTCCTGCTGCTTTGCTTAACAATCTACCCCTATTGTCTCAACCACCCCATTTCTCCTTTGTAGCCTCTAGATTAGGCTCCTCCCAAGAGTAAAGAGTACAGACATAGGGGGCAGGGCACAGACCTAGGTTCTGCCACCAAATTCTGGATACGTGAGGAATGGGCACACGCCTCCGCGCTCATTTTTAAAGCGGGCAGTGCGACCTCTACCTACGTCAGCGTCTGCCGAGCCGCTCAAGTGAGATAATGGAGCCAAGAGCTCTGCACAGCCTCAAGCGTGACACAAACTCAAGGGATCGGGACGGCTATTTTTAACTCCCCACATCCTGGCCGAAAACAAATCCCTCACACACCCTGCCGATCCTATCGGGGGCTGGCAGAGACTTTTGGGAATTCTCTCCTCCGGGAAGCAGCGCCAGGCCAGTGCTGATGGCTCACCCTCTGCTGGGAAAGACTCCAGCTGGGCCCAGCTCCCATGATGTCTGGCCTGGCCGGGTCCTCACAGCCCCTGTCAAACAGCCATTTCCTGGTGGATTCGGTTGTCACATATTCTCCAGCTGGTGACAGCCCGACAGAGTCACCAAAGATGCTAAGAGAGGTCATTCATTCATTTGCTTATTCATTAACCCCCACGTGTCCTCCTGTCCCCCCTCCGAGGGGGTGGGGCCTGCTGCAGGGCCACCCAGAGGGGTCACCATGAGCACCTGTGCTCGGGTGCTCAGTCTAGGGCAGCGATGGCGAACCTTTTGAGCTCGGTGTCAGCATTTTGAAAAACCCTAACTTATCTCTGGTGCCGTGTCACATATAGACATTTTTTGATATTTGCAACCATAGTAAAACAAAGACTTATATTTTTGATATTTATTTTCTATATTTAAATGCCATTTAACAAAGGAAAATCAACCAAAAAAATGAGTCCACATGTCACCTCTGACACGCGTGTCATAGGTTCGCTATCACTGGTCTAGGGGCAGAGCAGGGGTGGAGACAGGCAAACTAATAGGGCAAAAGTGGGTGGCACCATCAACCGCAAAGGCATCATGGAGGTTATGGGACTCCAGGGGCCCCTGCCAGCCTCCAACTGGGCAAGGGGCTTGGACAGCATCTGAACGGAAAACGGGACCATCATCCATCTCCCTCCAGCACCCCCAGCATCCCTCGGACCTTACTCCCACAGGGCAGCAGCCACTGTGACCGACAGGGAGATGGGCGCTTCCTATTTTAGGACAGGCAGCTCCTATCTGGTCACCGGGCCCACCTGTGTGGGTGTTGACTCAATCCATAAGGACACGGCCCACTCTCCCTGGTCCCACCCCACCCCCCTGCCTCTGCCTGAGTTCACTCTCACCACAGGATGTCAGCGGGGAAAGTGACTCCAACACAAGAGAGTCACAGAGGAAAGTCTCGTTCTGAATGAGGAGCCGTCACTGTGGGGCACCTCCTCTTGGCCCCCCACTCCGAGCCCTGCCTCTGTGGAGGGAGGCCAGGGGAGTGCAGTGAGCACTGGATGTGGAGTGAGAGGCAGTTCGAATCCGGGGTGGCCTCTTTCTGGCTGCGTGAGCTCAGCCTCGCGTCTCTCAGAGCCTCAGTTTCCTCGGCAGAAAGTCACATTAAAGGACCACATTAAACAAGACCGGCCGTGTGAAAGTGCTTTACAAGCCCAGTGTTTTATAGAAATGTTTGCTTCAGCATAAGTTCTTTGTCCTCATTTTTCATCTTTCCCCTTTGGCCTCGGGGCTCAAGAACCCCCTCTGACCTCGGGGACAGACAGTTTCTCTGGATGTTCTGGCCACAAATACCTGCAACCCCAGGAAAGTCATGTGACCCCACGGAGCCGCTGGAGCCATCGCAGTGACCCCCAAGACCCTTCATGACTGCTTTGCAAACGCCCTTACGAATTCTAAGGAATCAGGTGGATCTGGGCTGGAGGAGACCTGAAGTGCAGCCGGCGGGTGGGGGAGCGGACGGGCGCCCTTCTCAGACCTGCTTCCAGGCTGCTCTGTCTTTGATGCCGCAGAGCCAGAATAGACTTTTTTAAAAGCTGATCAAGAGCGATCCGAAGGAGGCCGGAAAGTCTTTCTGCACACCAAAGGCACCTCTCTGTCTGTCCCTCGGCTGGAGCCAGCCTGGCCCAGGGCACACACTGAGAGGACCCCTACCTGTTTGCCTTGCAAAGCGGGGTGCAGGCAAAATGCTCTGAGTCAGGAGCAGAAAAACCAAGCCAGGTTACAAACCAGCCCAACCCTACCAGGCTTTCTGAGCATTTCCTAGACCCAGGAAGGCCCCCGTCGGACCCCACCAACTTCGTGGGCACTGAGACGAGAGGTAAGGCCAGGGCCTTGCCCTCCAGAAGTTCAGAGTGCCTCTCGGAGACGAAGACGTGTAAGGCAAGGTGGTTAATAAAGCCCCTGGACACTGAGCCCACAAAAGCCTTTCTAGCTGATTTCATAACAAGCCCCAGTGCAGGGGGACAGCTTGCTCTGAGTGGGGTGATGAGACAGAGTAGAGGTGACATTTGTGCCAGACCCAGAGGGGCAGGAAAATTTGGTCAATGACGCAGTGGCCGAGAGAGAAGGACATTCAGGAGTCCCCGGCAGAGAGGCCAGGCACAGGCAGCCCGCAGAGCAGAGAGAGAGGAGGGAGGCAGGGAGGAATGCTGAGCAGGATGGGGCCTGATGGCCAGGCCAGGGGGTACGGGTTTGATCCCGTGGGTGGCTAACAGGGAGCCCCCCCCCCCGGGGCGATCGGGGGAGAAGAGGCATGATGGAGCGGGAAACTGAGGGCAGGTGGCTGGCAGAGGCTGCAGTTAATGGGGTCTGCGTTAGGAAGCCAGGCTGCCGGGGGGCCTGTCCTGGGCCTAGAAAACGGACAACTGGATCCCCTCAGCCAGATGCTCAGCTCTGGCTCCCGGGAGAGATTCCAGTCATCCAGGCACAGGTACCAGTCGGGAGGGGCCGGGCTCAAGGAAGGCAGGGGACGCCGGAAGAGAGACAAGGGACTAGTACACATCCTCCTGGTCTAGGCCAAGGTTATTCTGGCCCGAGAGGGGTGCTCAGCTGGGTTGGTCTCAGACCCCATGCTACCCCTCGGCTCCCCGTTATTCCCACCATCACCTCCTGTAGTGTTCAGAGTACAAAATGCTATTTAACTCCAAGGCGAGCAACCTTCCCACACCCTGGGCTACCTCCTACCATCCCCCGAACCAGCTCCCCGAGGCCCCTGGACACTGAGCCCACAAAAGCCTTTCTGGCTGGTTTCAGAGCAAGCCCCAGTGAAGCCATCTGCCCTCCAACCCAACCCAATAACTCACCTGAGCCCTGAGCCCATCATGGATACCCCTCCCTAGAAATGCAGAAAAAGAACAAGAGATCTAACTAAACACCTTTCCTTCTCCCTTTGCAGAAAACTAGAGTTTGAAAAGATGGCCAGCCCTGCCTAGGATCACACAGCCTGAAGGTGGCCCAGTCAGAACCCAGGTCTTCAAGCTTCCAGGTAAGAGCTCTGGCACCAAAGCCAGACCAGGTCGGGCAGAGGAACAATGAGGTTGGGATCCAGTGTAAACGGCCCTGTGCTCATTGTCAAGGGACCTGGGATCAAGTTCAAACTTTACCACCTTCCCCCCCAACACACACACAGACATCAGAGCTTTGGATGTGTCACTCAGCTTCCTGGACTCAATGGCCTCCTCTATAAAAATGCGTGTTTAATACATCCGCGCCTTTCCCAGGATCAAACAGGATTGAGATGGAAAATGCTCTGTGCACGGCACAGCTCTGAGGTCGGGACTCATCCTCCTGGCAGCCAGCCCTGCCCAGCCAGCCTCCGGTCACACATTTCTCTGGAGCTTCCCATGGGCCAACAGAGCAGCCACCCATGGGAAAAGGTACATTTCTGCTGGGTTTTACAATATAGATGCACACATGGCAGGTCCACCCCTCCCCCTCCCCCAGAAATTCGAGGACACCACCTCCTAGCTGAGAGGTCAGAGGCCATCATGGGGCCATGGAGGAGGAAGACGTGTGTGTGTGTGTGTGTGTGTGTGTGTGTGTGTGTGTGTGGTCCAACCCACCTCTCCTGAATCCCCACCATACTTGCAGTGAAATCTGAGCACAAGGGCCTCATCCAGGATGCTCCAATATTTCTAGAAAGAAGAGGCCAGAGGCCTTGGAGGGTGGAGAGGTGAGCAGGGCCTCCTGAGAGCCACAGGCTTGCTACCACACACATCCATGTGTGGCAGGAGAAGCCTCTGTCCTGGGCACCTCTGCCCTCTGAAGGCCTACCCTATAATGCCTGCCATCCGCCCAGGAGACTTCCACAACCATCAGCAGACACTGGGTGTAACATCGTGCCCATTTTACCACTGGGAGAAAGGCCCAGAAAGGAAAAGTAACCAGCTCAAGAGACTGAAGACAAGACTGAAATTCAGATCTCTTGAAACCCATATCCCATATTCTCTCCCTAGGGCGGTGTTTCTCAAATGGTGCTGTACATGGGAATGGCCAAGGGAGTTTAAAAAGTACAGATTCTTAGGTCTGGAGTAGAGGTGAGGAATCTGCATTTCAACAAGCGCCCAAGTGATCGTGACAAAAAGCATCGCCAGCATATCCCACAGACCCAGGCAACCGCCCACCCCACCCCCGTGGGCACACGTGATGGCACAGGACAAAAGTAACGGTCAGAAGCCTGGGCTCTAAAAGCAGATGCTGGGTTTGGGATGTACTCCAGCTCCTTCCGGGTTATTTGACTTTGAGTAAATCTCTGAACTTCTCTAAACCTGTTTCTTCATATGCAAAATGAGGATAAGAAAAGAATCAACCTCATGGGGTTGTCTTTAAGATGCAAGGAAATGTGTGTAAAGCCCTTAGCACAGGACCTAGCATATAATAAACACTCAATAAATGGTGCTGTGATCATTGCCAAATTCAGTTCAGTGTGTTACATGCCTAAAGGAAGGAAGAGAATGCCAGGCACGGGGACTGCAGTGAATAATTGAGCCAGTAAGAGATGCCTGCAGGGCTGTACTAAAACCAGTGGGTAGAACTAACAGGGACACAGATTTCCACTCCAAACAGGAAGGGTTTTTTTGTGTTTTTTTTAACAGACTGGAGTTGCCCAATCATGAAGCCAGCTGCCTAGTGGGCTGACTGTCGCTAGAGGATTCCAGCAAAAAGGACTAGATGTTCACCAGGTGGAGACACAACACCAGAGAAGGAAGAACGGGGAGGGGATGATCTTGAAGGTGATTTTGGACCAGGTTCTGCAGGTCAGCCACCCTCTCTGTCGGGCTGGTTAATTGGTGCATTCACATTTCCCTGATATTTACAACCTTTACCTCCACGCGTCCAACAGGGATGAGGAGAGCGATCAGTGACAGACAGAAAGCCTATACCTTCTGAATAGTTCATGACAAGGAGGAGGGTGGAGGGGGCTGTCTTCAATCTGAGACCTACAAACCCACTGGAATCATATGCCTCAGAAGGCATGTGCATCTGTGCACTTTTCTCAAAAGAGTTTATATAGAGGGGCTGGTCCACACCAACTTGTGAGAAGAGGGGAAAGAGGGCCCAAGCTCCAGGTTACAGACTGGCAGCCTTCCATGCCTTACCTCTCAAAGGCCTTACTAGATCCCCCTGGCGTGGGACCCTTGAGCTCAGAGAGGTTAGGAAACCTGCCTAAGGACACACAGTAGTGAGGGTGGGGCTGAAGTTTGAACCCAGGTTCTCTGGGCTCCAAAGCTGGTGTTTGATTTGGTTTTTAACTCTCAGGTATATGGTCTTAGATCAAGAAAAAACAGAAATAAGTTTGGCTTTGATAGTGAAGGGAAATCATGCCAAAGTGATAATCCTCATTAGTGACAACCCATCTACTCATCCAGCCTCAATCAAAATTAAATTCAAGTCAAAATTAATTTCCCCCTAAGCAGCAGACGGGGACCTGGGGAGAGGGTGCAGTTTCCCTATGACTCGAGCCAGACAGCTGAAAAGAATGGACCATCGGAAACCAGTCAGCCAGCAATTGCCCCCAGGCTGGGAATTGGGACTTGGCTGGTTTTGGTCCCTGTTCCCACTCTGCTTAGCTTAAGGTGTTTTAATGGAGGGCAGGGTACAAGCACCCAGGAAACCGAAAAGAAACCCCATTTCAATGACCCCACCCCCTGAAAATTTAGGAGTGGCTAGGGTTGAACAAAACAACACCCCAAACTTGGGTGCCCTGGGGTGCCTGGCTCTGCACAGCCACGGGTGGCTGTCCAATTATCGACCCTCAGGCAGCGGTTCTCAACCTGTGGGTCTCGAACAATGAAAATACATCTGCATATCAGATATTTACATTATGATTCATAACAGTAGCAAATTACACTTATGAAGTAGCACGAAAAGAAATTTTTGGTGGGGGGCCCCCACAACCTGAAGAACTATATATATTGTCTCTGCCTTAGTATTGTTCAGATCCCCGGGAGGAAATTGAATTTATCGGGTTAGGATAGGTTGGGGGGGAAGGGGGGTGGAGAGATGTGAGTTCGCTAATGCCGCTCCCGGATCCCTACCGCACAGGTTCGTCGGCGAATACTTGACAATGACGGGATAGTAGAGAGAGGAACGCAAAGGGTGAGTAGTGGATAATACCAGCGCACCCATCCACGTTGAAATAGCAAAAAAAATTTATTTGTGTATTTTTTTTGTTATTATAAAATTAGGATTATCCCAACCCGATCCTACCCCCCCCCCCACACCCCC